GGGGGGGGGGGGGGGGGAGGGGGAGGGGGAGGAGGAGGAGGAGGAGCTGCCCCAAAGCTTGGAGTGGTAGTAGGGATGGGATTAGAGGTGAGAGTAGACCCACCAGGGGAAGGGCTGAAGGAAGGTGAATGAAGTAGTGCTGTATACTGTGGGACTTAGCCACCTAAGCAGATGAGGGTACAAGGTTCTCAGGGCATGTGGCCCATCCATCAGCTTCTACAATTTCTAGAATATCCAATTGGGTCCCTTGAGGTATTTCCACTCTTAGAATTCTGACACACTCAAGTTTCTGACAACTGTGACAGTTGACCAGCCCCATATTCACTCCCCCCACCCCAGACCCCACTTACAAACTTTTCTGGGCAGGAATTCTACCTCAGCATGCCATAGCTAAGAGCTATGTGTGTGGACTTTGTTGACATCATAGCCTAGTGAATAGGAATATCTGGTGTCTGGGGAACTAACTTCCAGTGGACATTTCCTCTGTCTAAGACTGCCCAGAGACACTGTGAATTCCTATTACGCTCTGCCATGTCCCACACAGCACAGGAGATGGGTGTGACCTGCCAAGATGCCAATCAACCTGCTGACTGCAAGACTTCACTGAAGCAAGACTCTGCCCTTGAAACCTTATCCCTGACTTTGATGCACCCCCCTTAAATAAACCACTGGAGCCATCTTCATTTGTCTAGCTCCAGCAACTCTGCGGACTACATGATAAAGAAAAATATTTTATACCTTAGGTGAAAACTCTCAAGGAGTCTTGGAAATAAAGGAGATGCTATGCCACAAACACTCTCACCAAAATGGAAAAGGGTTCCAAGTTCTAACTAAACCAGTGACTAATATGTGCCTCTGATTTTAGCAATCATTACTAAGTCCCACGATTTCCTTCTCAAAGGAGCAATAGTGTGTGTGTGTGTGTGTATTCAATGTCCTCTAGTAACCTAGCCCTCTATTTGTTAATCATTTAGTAGGGCTACCTTTCACCTTAGACTTACAAATAAGCACAATCTAAGAGTTCCCAATTTTCCTTTGAACTACCAGATTTTCTCAAGCCTTAACTATCTTTAACAAAACATGAAGTTTCTCATTCTATGACAAAGCAGGGAGGGGACAAAATTTAACTGCATATGGCCCAGGAAGAATAAACTCTCAGAGATTTTTATTCATTTTAAATAATAAATGTGAAAACACTTAGAAAACTTAATACTTGATATAATCAATTTGCTAATCAAGAATAACAGATTCCTTTTTGTTTTGCAATGGCAGGATGCAAGCAGAAAAAAGTATGAAATTTTGTTTGGATCACACAACGTAGTTTACAAAATTATATTTATCTATCTATATATATATCACATTTAAATTTCCATAGCTGTAGTCTTCATTTTAAGGTATATTCAGATACATATAAAATGTTTCTCTGAAAGACAACTTGGTAAATATATAGCCCTTCAACCATACAATGTACATAGTCCTGTTTCACAGGACTTATTTTTTGATATACAGCTCTGATACTCCTGAATTCAAAAATTTTACTATAAAATTCAATCTCTCAACTAAATAACCAATATATCCTCCCAGAATGACATGGTCCAAGTTTGTGTTTTTTCATAAAAGCTCAAAGAAATTAAGTTTTATGTGCAGTAGTGCTTAAAAAGAGACGCTGGTGGCACACTAGTGATAAAACATATTGCAATTCCATCAGAATGTAAAGGACCCAACGTTGTGTGAAAATACTATGACATTATCATTGGCTATACACCAGAACCCATAAGAGATTTTATTATATATATATATATATATATAAAAAGTAAAACTTTCTAAGGAGGTCTGCATGGCTAGATTTTGATCAGCACAATTAGTGAGTGATGTTATGTCCTAGATTTTCCCCAAATTTTAATCACACAAAACACCATTGGTTCACAAAAACTCATTTAATTTGATGCTACAATTTGTGTTGTTTTCAATCACTATATTTTTAGAGCTCCACTGTATTTTAGTTCCACAGTACTAGATTCTAATCAGCAAATATCTGTAACTATAATATTTAAGCTATAAACATAGTTTTGTTTTGCAATGGAAGGATGAAAGCAGGAGAAAGTATGAAATTTTGTTTGGATCACACAAGGTAGTTTACAAAATTATATCTATACATCACATTTAATTTCTCAATAGCTGTAGTTTAAAGCTTAAACAGTTAAATAAAACAAAACAGGCTGAGGATGAAGCTCAGTGATAAAGTGTCCCTAGGTTCAATCTCTGGTACCATTAAAAAAAGAGAGAGAACATTAAGGATCTAGGGGAAGATCAATACCTTTTTTTCTCCCCTATGTCTGCCCTACTTCCGATCCATATATCCAACCCCATGCTTGGGGGGTGGGGTAGGGAGAACAACCAATAATTTCTTTACCTCTAGAGGAGGTTATAGGGCTTCCTCTCTGAAAAAAAGAGAAGTCTTATCTAAAATAAGGAAGTAGAGAAGGTGCTTTAAGAAAAAAACTGAAAGGATAGGTAAATATATTTAAAATTTAGTACTCCAAAGGGAAGGAAAGTAGAATGAGTTGGAAGGGAAGGTACTTGCAGGGGAAAAGCTAAGGAAAAGAAAGCATAACACATTAAGGGAATAACTTTGTAAGGAAAGGAGATGACTAGGTAGGTTTTCCTTTTTATGGTGACCAAGTTTCTTAGGATGAAAAGCATAGCTGGAACTGACAAATTACACTCAACTTTGGTATCAAATTAGCTGAATTATCAGTAGTTCAAAAGATTGTACGAAAGATCTATAAAGTTTTATGCAGCTCAGTGGAAGAGTATATGTCTACATGTATGAGGCTTTGTATTCAATCACCAGATCCCAAACCAAAAAATAACAAAACACCCTAAATATAGATAGGCTCTAACATTACACTTCCATTTTTAAAACATGAGCTTAAATCTATTGCATTTGGCAGCTAGCTATCTCTAAGTTTAAGGTTAATGTTGAGTGAGTACCTGGAGACTTAAAGGGAATATGGAGAATATAAAATAACTGTTATTGGTAGCAGTAGTAAGGGTATTAAGTCAATTTCTTTCTTAGCCATCCATCATCTACTAAATATCAAGCTACTGCAGACTGATGCTGTAATCAAAATCAGTCAATATGCCATTCAATTCAATATAGATAATTCTCTTAATATATACTGCACAGTTTGTAGAAATACCTTTTGATATCTAAAGTAGTATAACAAAGTGGACAAGATATAGCTAAAGCTGAATTTGAGTCCCTGCTCTGTCAATAACTGAATTTAAGCAGATGTCTCAGTAAATTATTTTGTTTTGTTTTTATGGTACTGGGGATTTAACCCAGGGGCACTTTACCACTGAACCATATGCCCAGTCTTTTTTATTTTGAGATGGGTCTCACTAAGTTGCTGAGGCTGGCCTTGACCTTGCACCCTCCTGTCTCCCAAGTCACTAGGATCATAGACACACTTCACAGCACCCAGCTTCAGGAAGCTTTTTAAACTTTATTTGCTCATCTAACATTAGAAGACTAGTTTGAGAGTCAAACAAAAGACTTAATACTTGCAGAGAACCTGTCACAAATTTTAACAAAGAATATCAGACTCAGACTGAAGAACCCTGGATCACATAGCTTCACAGTTTCATGTTTCCAACTTCTCGTATGTCCAACTAATGTGTCATAAGCATATCCTTTTCAAATCAGTTCCAGGCTTCAACCTGTTTCTCCACACAAATAGAAATGAGCTGCCTTTCTCTAAGTCCCAGTGTTGGTTATCAAATACTTTACTACCTCAGGTTTGCAGGTGTACATATATATGCCTTAGCCCACAAGCCTACCATCTAGAAGCAATTATATAATTTGGTTTCTTTCTGGTAAAATTGCAAGACTGACTTCCATTACTGAAATGTGACTGTCTAGGAGGATGGTGTGAAAGTTTAGTAGCCAGTGGTTTGTGTTTTAGCAGATCTCAGTAATTTCACTAACAACCTAAAAAGATGATTTTATTCTTTTTACAACTTCTTAACTTTCCTGTTTTCATCTTATTTTTTAGCAGCACTGGGGATTGAACCTGGGGTGCTCTACCGCTGAGCTACAACCTAAGTCCTTTTAATTTCATTGTGAGACAAGGTACTGCTACATTGCCTAGGCTTGCCTCAAATTTGCAATCTTTCTGCCTCAGCTTTCTTTGTCTGAGATTATAGGCACATACCACTGTGCCCAGCCTTCACCTTGTATTTTTTTTAATTTTAAATTGTAATTAACATATAGGAACTAAAAGACACAGAAGCCAAACAGCCATGCTTTCTCTCAGAAATATGTATTACTAGAAACTCAGGGCAGTAAGCAAATGAATAAATGATGACTTATAAAAATAGTTTATATGCTTTCATGTTTTCATTTCCTACACACTTTCACACATTTTTTATCTTCTACTTTCCTAACAAAACTTGGCTTATTAGAACACGTGATTAAGACTAAGATTGAAAAACCAGACTGGTAAATCGTTAAAAAATGTAAAAATATTTCAAGAGAAGCCAAACATTTTTCAGAAAACAATGGCTGAAAGTTATGTTGAAGAAGTGCTCTAAGAAGAATATTTATTCCCACGTACAACAGAAAATAAGAAGATGATAATAAGAAATGTTTTAAGCCTTCCTAGAAACAACCAAGAATGTATCTGTGACTTTCAGCCCTGTGTAGGGAAAGGGTAAATATATAAGAACCTGGAAGAAAGCTTTGAAGTGAGCATCCTCTTGAACGGTAGTGTTCTGATCACTTGGGAGGAGAGGGAACAGGCTCTGAAGTCTCACCCTTTCACAAATCACCTTGTTAGGATGGCCAGGTAGAGGTGCTGAATTGGCCCCGGGAGATATCTGGGAAAAAGAGGGAGAAGAAAAGGATAGTTCATGGCTAGCTGCACCAACATGGAGAATCAAGCCTATGAAGGACAGTGGATTTTCTAGTATTTGATGATTCTGTTAGCAGAGACAGGAAAAATTTTTAAAATTTTTAAACATCAAAACATAAGGATGGCAAAGGTTGCCTCTGTCAATGGATCTCTTTATAAAAATTTTGAGGCAAAAGAGCCATGGCTCAAGAACACCAAATCCTTCTTGTTTCCTAAATACCTATGGGTACACCATTTCTATTGATGTTAATTCTGAAATCCTAAAGGTTAGATTTCATGTTAAGAAAACTTGAGGTAGTATTACATATCTTAAGTATAGAATGCCTAGACTAACAATGTGTGTGCCTAGACTAACAATTTTTTCCCCTCATTCTACTTTTAGATAACCTTCCAAATGATCACGCATAGGATTCTTGACAATATTTGTGGTAAAACTTCTATAGCTATCTTACATATGACTGTATACCATATGATATATAGCAACCTTGTTTAACTGGTAATCTTTGCTCTCTCAACATAAGCCTAGAGATTTTCTTAAGGAATAAAGGATAAGATCATAAGCCCCAAAGTAAATAAACTTCTTTTTAAATGCTTGTGGTGGTACACACCTGTAATCCCAGCTACTTGGGAGGCTGAGGCAGTAGGTGTGCAAGTTTGAGGTCAGACCAGGCAAGTTAGTGAGACTCTATCAAAATAAATGAATGAATAAATAAAAATAAAAAAACTAGAGGTTAACTCTGGTAAAGTTCCCTGGGTTCAATCTCCTCATATTTAAATATGTTTATAGTACCTTAAAAATCATGTACACTGCTAGGCATAGTGGTGCATGCTTGTAATCCCAGTGGCTTGGGAGGCTGAGGCAGGACGATTGCGAGTTCAAAGCCAGCCTCAGCAAAAGCAAGGTGCTAAGCAACTCAGTGAGACCCTGTCTCTAAATAAAACAAACAAACAAAACAAAAACAAAACAAAAAAAAAACCAGGGCTGGGGATGTGGCTCAGTAGTTGAGTGGCTCTGAGTTCAATCCCCAGTACCAAAAAAATAAAAATAAAAAATCATGCACACAACCTGTTCTACTCTACCGTGAGGGTGAAATTCTCCTTGGTGGTTGAGGTTTATATATTTGTTTCCACACTAAATATCACATAGTTTAACACTGTCTTGTGTTTTAGAGTTTCATTGCCTCATTTATTCATATTTATTGAAGTGTCTATTTGACAGGCACTAGACCAGAAAGAAAGGCATGATTTCCTACCACTGAGAAGTATGTTACAAAAGGGCTGGGGATACAGCTCAGTGGTAGAGCACTTGTCCAGTATGAACAAGGCCCTGGATTTAATCCCTTGTACTGCAAAATAAAAAGAAAACAAAAGTAAATCACTATATAGTGTAAGTACCTTAATAGTACATGTTATAAACTAGGACAATTGGCAAAAGACCATAGTATAGTCAGGAAATTGCAAAATGTTCAGTATGGCTAGAGAATAAGGAAGAAGTTGGAGAAGGAAAGCAGTGGAATGTTCATTATATTAATACCCTTGCTGTAATAACTTTCCTTAGTTCTTTTATAACCTTTTTTCTTGCTTGCCATGAGTCTGGTAAACATAACCATGTCCACTAATAAGAGTAAAAATACTTTAAAATACCCTCCTAGGAATAAAAGCAAATCACAAGGGCAAGTATTTTAGAATTTATTAATTTGCGACACAAAATTTTTGGACATGAGCTTAAGTTTACCTCTGTAACACTATAAAGTATATATCACTCAATCAAGGAATATTTTCTGATTCCCTCCCACGAGCTAAGTGTTCTAAGAAAGGTATAAAGATAAAACATGAATCCTACCCTTCAGTAAGCTTTATTCTAATTAACAGATGCAAGCAGTCAACTATAGTATAATATTTAAATGAGGCAAATATAGAACACAGGTAAGAAGCCCCAGCTGATCTGAGGGTAAGAGTAGTAAGAAAAGATTTCCTAGAAAGAGGTGGTATTTTCAAAATTCCTGGCTCCTCACTCAATCTAAGGAATGTTTTTATCATCTCAAAGCAATTTTCTCTCAAAATGTTTCTCTGTAATCCTCTAATGCTTTTAATTTGTATGGTAAATAACTTTTGTAGTGTGCTTAAATAAGGTTATTTGCCTTCAACAATCAAGTCAAAGAGTCTTACAAAATGCTAGTGCCAGTAGTTGTTTGGGAAAACAAATCAGGGGTCAGGTTTTCTCTCTTCCATTCTTTGCTCCTCTAAAAATTTAAGATTTTGGTCACATATAAACAAAAAATACATAACAACAACAATAAAACAAACTAGGCCCCTGTGGCCTTAATATTTTCAAGCATATTCTATCCTACTCAAAACAGCCTCCTTTGGTCAGAAGCTCCAACTGTCTACAAAAAGGGAGGACTAAAATACGGTGGAAGAAAGCTACATTCAAATCATGTAGTTAAAATAAGTATAGGAGGGCTGGGGATGTGGCTCAAGCGGTAGCGCGCTTGCCTGGCATGCGTGCGGCCCGGGTTCGATCCTCAGCACCACATACAAAGATGTTGTGTCAGCCGAAAACTAAAAAATAAACATTAAAAAAAATTCTCTCTCTCACTCTCTCTTTAAAAAAAAAAAAAAAAACATGAACAGACATTATGCAACTTGTTTTTTAAAAAAAAAAAAAAGTATAGGACAAAACCATAGATAAGCTTGATCAAGCCCCCCACCTCCACCAGATAAAATGATATACAAAACATTTTGGGTATATATATGTTAGGCAAAAGGTGCCCCCCAAAGATTTCCACTTCAGGTACAACCCTTCGATCTTATATATGGACAAGACTGTAAATAAGACAGATTTCATATGCTAATGTCAGTCAATTTTAAGTTGATCAAGAGGGAGATATCCTGGGTGGGCCCAACTTCATCAAAGAAAGTTCTTGAAGAAAAGGAACTGAGCCATTCTTGAACCTGAAGAGGGTCTTTACTAACCCTTCAAACCAAGCTACTACACTGTGCAAAGGGATACAAAGGAGGCAATATGGTAGGGACCTGACAGGAGTGTCTAGGAGCTGGAACACTTACTAGAGCAGGGGGTCCAGCAGACAACTCATACCAAGACTCCTGATATATGGAAATTGTAACATTATAGATTTTGTGTTTTATAACAGATTTGTGGTAATCTGTAATAAACCACATAAAATTAACGTATATATAAAACTAGGATAAAATTTTTTGCTCCAAACTCAAGGGAAGGAAGTTTCTCCAGAATTTAATTATGAAAGAATAAAGGTATTTTAAATTTAAGCATACAGGAGTTTTTAAAACTTCAATTTGGCTGGCGAGTTGTGGCATGCCTGTAACCCCAACAACTTGGGAGGTAGAGGCAAGTTCAAGACCATCCTGAGTAACTCAGTGAGACCTTATCTAAAAATAAAAAGGGCTGAGATGTGGCTCAGTGGTAGAGAACTTCTAGGTTCCATCCCCAGTGCCAGAAAAACAAATCAAATCTCAATCTGGTAATAGCTAACTTCACACCAGGAACTGAACCGGGCTAATATTTATGCACTATATATTAGGTTTAATCAACTTGCTTAAAGCCACATACCTCAAAAATAGCAAAATTATATAATCTGAACCCAAGTCCATCATACACTAAGGTTCATACTCAATGTACTAAACTATCTTTTAGTTTAATCTTTAAAAGAAACATTCTTCTTTATAATTTTCTTTGGTTAGTAACAATTATTCCACAAGAGCTACTTAAAAATAATAAGTATGTTTCCTTATAAATTGTTTTAGATAAGTTTTCACTAATTCTTCCTCAGTTAAACTTGTAAGGTTAAGATGGGTGCAGTGGCACACACCTGTAATCCTAGCATCTTGGGAGGCTGAGGCAGGAAGACCTCAAATTCAAAGCCAGCTTCAGCAAAAAGTGAGGTGCTAATCAACTCAGTGAGACCCTTTCTCTAAATAAAATACAAAACAGGGCTGGGATGTGGCTCAGTGGTCAAGTGCCTCTGAATTAAATCCTTGGCACCCCCCCCCCCCCGCCAAATACATACATACAAACATACATAATGTTAAAGTATACCTGAAAATTGATATGAGTATTTTTTTCTAGCCTGGAAACTATTGAGCATTACAAAGATTTGGTTAACTTCAACCTATTCTTAGGGAATATGGAGAACATGGAGAATATAAAATAACTGTTCAACCTATTCTCAGGATGCAACCTGTACTTGCAAAAGCACAGCCATGGAAATATCCCTGAGACAGGATTACGTCTAACTCCTAGAGTTTCTTGGTTTTGATGTTTACTTACATATAACCGTATGAGTAATTACCCCAACATAATGGGGGGGGGGGGAACCTCACAGTTTCACAAGACTGTTTACAAAAACCAGTTTAACTTTTTAAGCCCCAATACTTGTTATTTTCAGAACAACTTTTAATGTTGCCTTTCTGTTTTGGTAGTCATATATAATCAACAATTTAATTTAATCTTTTTCTTGGAGAGTTTGATAATTATTATCAGTTAATGTGCTAAAAATTACAGAATTTAGGAGACATTGTCCAGAACTTATTCCTTCTAAAACTGCTTCTGATAACAGCTTTCTTCTTCATTCATTTACATTTTCCCAAAAAAGGTGAGGCACAGGATTTGTAAGTACATGACCCCTAGAGGACAGCACTAAAATAATGCACTTTCTACAGAACAAAGTGCTCAAAGGCTTAAATAAACTGCCTTCTCCAAACTGGCCATAATACTCCACAGAAGAAAAAAAAAATTGTTCACTGTTACTAGCAGCATATGGGCTGGTCAAAAGGACTCAATCAAAACCGAATACAAAAAAGAAAAAACATCAGATGAAAAGGAGTCAAGGGCTTAGTGTTGCCTCTAGCCAGTCCTTAATCCTCTAGGTCCAAGTCTTGGCATCTACACAATGAAGTCAAATCCAACTTGTCTTAAGATTCCAAATATTCTCATGTTTCCATGAGAGCAAATGTTAAACTCTTGGGAAGCAATTTGGCAGATTTTATGAACAATTTGAAAAGCATACCTAAAATCTGCATCTGCAATCTTTAATCTGATAAATTCTGTTATGCTCCAAAATAAGGAAAAAGCAACATGAACAAATGTATTCATCATCATAACACAATACCACCAACAATTTAAAAGTAAGCTTAATGTTTTTTGTTTGTTTTGGTACTGGGGATTAAACCCAGGGGCACTTAGCCACTGAGCCACATCCCCAGCTCTTCTCAATTTTTACTTTGAGACAGGATCTTGCCTGCTAAATTGCTCAGGTTCTTCCTAAATTGCTGAGGCTGGCTTTGAACTTGTGATCCCCATCTCAGCTCCCCAGCCACTGGGATTACAGGCATACACCAATGTACCCCAAAAGCTTAATGTTCAGTAAGCATTTGCTAAGAAAAATTATAGTGCACCAGTTTGGTGAACTATTACATAGCCATTAAAAATAGCAATAAAAATGCATATGCTATTAAGTAAGAGAGGAACAAAATCATGTAAATGTTATGATTAAGATTGGGGTTAAGGAGCTGGAGTTGTGGCTCAGCAACAGAGGCTTGCCTGGCATGTGTGAATCACTAGGCTCGATCCTCAGTGCTACATAAAAAATTTTTTCACAAATATATACATAAATAAATATATTTTTTTAAAAATTGGGGTTAAGTTCCTGGAATCTCATAAATTTTAGATAAAAATTTAGAAGATTATGAAGAAAAACCAAGAATTCACTCTAAAGGGTAGGGATGTGGGTGTGATGAGCACTTGCCTAGCATGTAGGAGACACTGAGTTAGATTCTCAGCACTGCATATAAATAAATGAATAAATTAAAGGTACATAAATATCTTAATAAAAACTAAAAAAGCACACCAAATCTCCATGTCATATTCAGCATGTCACTTTCACCTAAAAGAGTATATTAAAGCAGGAACTCAACTACTGAAAGAGTAATCTTCCAAAGTAACCAAATAATAGCATAGCCTGCCTTTTTTTTTTTTTTTAAATGTTAATTTTAATGAATCTGGTTAGAATAAGACAAGCAGAAAGTTTTGATCAGGACAGGGGAAAAGCTCACCTGCAGATCACCACTTAAGTCAGTGATTGTGCTGGGGAAAGTGAGTGCCTAGGATGCACCGCAAAACAAAAAATAACAAAAGCCAGTTGTTGTCCACAAGTCCACCTCATCAAATTGAGACAGGATAAATCACTGAGATATTTATTGGTACTGTGCCTGTTGCTGGGATATTCCCCCCTACCGTTCTGAGAAAGTATTTAGACCTCACTGTTGCTTTGAGTACAGTTGTATCACTAGGCCTAAAGCAAAAGTTTCTTTAGCTTTTACTTTTTGGAAGCATAATTTTCCAAGAGGATTTTGCTAGTGGAGCAGGGGAAAGGACGTTGGAGCCAGGAATGTGTGCCTCCTCAAGCCATGCAAAAGATTGGTTTGGATGGGTACAGGAATTTTGAGGGGATGATAAAAATATTCTAAAATTGGACTGTGTTGATGGCTGCACAACTCTGTAAAAATTTAACCGAAGTCAATGAATTAAGTGGGGCACTGGCTCAGACAGGAGAATCCCAAGTTCAAAGCCAACCTCAGCAACCAAGGGAGGTCCTAAGCAACTTGGCAAGACCCCATCTCAAAATAAAAAATAAAAGGGGGGGGGGGGGGGGGGGGGGGTGTGGGTCAGTGGTAGCGCGCTCGCCTAGCATGCGTGAGGCACTGGGTTCGATCCTCAGCACCACATAAAAACAAAATAACCTGTCTGCCTAAAACTAAAGATACATAAATAAATAAATGTTTAAAAAAAATAAATAAAAAGGGCTGGGACTATAGCTTGGTGATAAAGCACCCTGGATTCAATTCCCAGTAGCCCAACTCCTATCAATCAATTGATTACCAAGTGGATTTTATGGTCTATAATTTTACCACTCAATAAAGCTGCTTTTAAAAAGACTGATCAAATTTATGGATATTTATGATTTTTTAAAAAAAGAAAGAAAAAAAAAAGAACCAAGACTCTAATTCTGAAAAGCTGAAGTCCAAAGATCAAGGACAGCTTCAGCAGCTTTGTGAGTGGATGTCTCAAAATAAAAAGCAAAAAGGTCTAGGAATGTGGCTCAGTTATTTTTCCTACAAACACACATAAATACCAACGGCACACAATTGAGATGATAAAAGAAATAAAATCATTCTATTACTTTTATTCAACTGTCAAAAGTTCTCTGAAAATTATTTTTGAAAAGCTAATAGGCTAGGGGGAAAACCATTAAAAAAAAAAAAAAAAACTGTACTATCTACCTCAGGGATGATCATTACTCACTACTGCCCAATACTGGCAATTCTTTCTAAAAATAAGCTATTATTCCCATTTTTGAGTTAAAGGAAACTAAATGGACCTATGTCTTTCTGAGAGCAAGGCAAAACCAAGATGAATGAAAATAGACATGTACTCCACCTCCTTGCACTTCCTTTCCCTAGTCCAGAGTTCCATAAAATAACGGGAGGGGAGATATTTGCAAGTTTGGAAAACAATGAGACTATATACATGATCCCTCTTCTTGTTTACTCCAAATTTCTTTCTCATTAATTTACTACAGAGTTCAAGCATTTGCTTTATATCCTCTAGATTAACAGTGCCTTCTTAGGTATTTAACATTTCCTATGAATAAACTAGAACAGAACTACATCTTCCAAATGGATGCTTACAATCTGACTGCTCTTAAGCAGAGAAAAAGTGAACTATAGGTTAACTACAATGGAACAGGAATGAAAACTGTTGTCATTTGATATGTGAATTTAGCAGGAAACCAGAAAATCAGTAAAATAACCCAGACACCATGGCACAATAAAAACTGACAGAGAATTATCTTCCCAGCAAGATGAATTACAAAATGGGAGTGCCTAAACCAAACTAGGGGCAGCATGAAACAAAGAGAAATAGATGAAACAAACTAGTAGATAGATAATCTTTTTTTTTTTCCTTTGTACTAGTGATTGAACCCAGGAGTGTTTAACCACTAAGCAACATCCCCAGCCCTTTTTATTTTGAGAGAGTCTTGCTTAAGTTGCTAAGGGCTTCAATAAATGGCCTAGGCTGGCCTTGAACTTTCCATCCTAAGCCTCCAGAGCTACTGGGATTATAGGCATGTGCAACGCTGCCCGGCTAAGACAGATAAACTAGGTCTTTCCATACTGACCAAGCAACTGATCATTTCATCAATTTTTATCTTGATTTCTCTCTATATTTTACATGCAGCCTAAGAAAGAGTAAGAACTGGGTAAAAAACAGTGCTTTTAAAAAGTTTAGGTTTTTGCCCATTTGCTGCTGTTGGCAAAGAGAACACAATAGACCTACATTCTACATTATGATGCTACGAGATTCAATTATGTCAGACTACGTCATTCTGTTTACTTTTCCTCATAAGTCAGAATGTTTTAGCACAGAAAATTCTCAGTATCTACTTGCCGATTTAGGTTAGCTATAAAAGGTATCAGAGGTGGAGGGCCCAAAAGTCCAGTTCTTTCTTATTTTGGAGGACCTGAGGTCCAAGTGGCTAGTCGGTTGCAGAACATATTCAATTATAGTCTTTAAAACCTCCAATTCTCTTAGAAATGAGTCTAAAGAGAATATTATAGGAATTGACTTTAAAGGGACCCTTATAAATGTGTAGATTTATGACTAAGTTTTCAAAGTGTGAAATGCATTATATAAGTTATAAGGCAGGAGGAACTCAGGTAAGGGCTAACTGAAGAAATAATACTCCTAGTTAAAATTCAAGTTATAAATTTTAATATCAAGTGTTCCACCTTTCCATACCCACATATTTAGGTTTCCATTGTTGACTTCTGTGTCAGTTGCATTCCTTCTTTAGATCGTGTTCCTGAACAATTTCGCTTTGGTTTTAATTCTGCCGGTAAAAACCATGAGTGGATTTTGTTTGAAGCCTAAATTAAAAGATCTCCTTGCTATTTAAAGGAACTATGGTAAACATGTTACAACAGTACCTGCAAACAAAGCCATATTGATGTGGCAGGCTTGGAATTGTAAGATAATAAATTAGTATGATGAGCATGTATAAGCGTTGAACACATTTTACTTTTCTGTTAAATCCACGGCTTATGAAGGGAAAAAAAGGCAATTCATAAGATGCTAGCAATGATTACATTTAAGTATTCACTTCTATTTATGGTGGAAGAATTAGCATACTCAACTTTTACTTATTAACATCACATATCATTTTTGCAACACAAAGAAAATCTCCCTCCCTTACAAGCAGTACACACCAAAACAAAAACTTTATTCTCTTTAGATCTCAATAACCTGAAAAACTCCAGTTTCAAAAACCAACCTCTCTCATTCTTCAGCCCTGAAAGGAAGAACTTCCATCCCCTGAGAACAAAACGCAGACCGTCCAGAAACCCGAGGGGGCAGAAGGCCGGGAGAAGAGAACCCCTGCGACCGGGTTCTGCGTTCTCCTGGGTGACATCATTACACCTGCGCCTCGGCAAAGAGGGAGGGAGCGAGAGAGCGGGGCCATCTGCCAGGCGGCAGAGGGCCGGCGCTCAAGCTAGCTGAGCTCGCACTCCTCGCCGCCGCTGCGGGAACAAAGAGAGCTGGGGCACTCGGGCCAAACCTCCTCACGGCTACCACCGGCCCGAGGCCCGTCCCGCCCTCGCGCGGGAACCAACGGCCATTGCTGCCAGTACCTGTGAGGGGAGGCTCCGCCCTGCGGGGCTGCTCCCGCGGCTTCTTGCTGGGCCGCCGCCTCCTATTGTGACCGCTCGCCCAGCCAGCGGCCAGCTCGCCAGCTCCGCCGTTCCCGGGCCTCCTCACCCCCGGAACCCGGGCTCTGACTGAGGCGCTGTCACGGCGCTTCCTTCCTCCGGGCACCATCACACGGGCCGCGCCAAGAAACGACGGCTGCACACCGAGAGCTGAGAGCCGTCTAACACCTTGGACGCCCCATTCTCTCCGCCCTGCGCCCCAACCGCCCGGGGCTTCGCCACTGCCGCACCGCTGCACGAGGGGGCCCCGCCCCACCGCACCCAGCCTCGGCCCTCGCGGACCCGGTCTCGCCGCGCGCCGGCGCACTGGCGCACTGTTTTCCGCTGCGTGCGCAGCGACGCCCCTCCCATTTCTGGATGTTGCCCCCGCCCCCGCCCCGCGCGCGCCCTGCCCCCTCTCCGACACAAACCTAGCAAGCCCAGAGCGCGAGACTGCCTGAGCGCTCCGCCCCTTTCCCCCTCAGCCCTACTCGCTGTGCCGAGTCCCCTTTGTTTCCACCCCGCGGGGGCGGGGCAGCGCGCGTCTCAGCGCGCTCAGAACCAGTTCCGGCAACAGAGTCTGACGCGCAGCACCACTGCGCAGCCCCGCCCCAGCCCTTTGAGCGGGTGCTCGGGCAGTGCTGCCCAATTCATTTTCTCCTAGGTATGTTGTTACTGTTGCTCGGTACCTACCACTCCAAAATTCAGCAAACAATAACCTAATCGAATTCTCAAATATGTATTCTGTGGCCCAAGAGAATGGAAGTTTTTATTGATATAGACAAAATTGTCTCGCAAGGGAGCAAGCTGGTTGGACCCCAACTTGGACTAAAGCTTCACAGGCCTGATAGTTATTCAAACCTTGCTGCAGAGTGTGAAAATAAGGATGCGGACTGAAGTAGGCTTGGTTCCCGAAAATGTTCAAGATCCAAGAGAGAAGACTATTCATAAAAGCACAATAAATGATAAAAATTGTTAAATGGTATTGTAGTGGGGAGGGAGGAATTGGGGAGAGCATCACAGAAGACGGGGGCTTTTAAAAGTAGAAGATTCCTACAAGGATGGTGAGGTTTTCTTTTTTGGGGGGGCGGGGGTACTAGGAATTGAACGCAGGGGTACTTGTGAGCCACTTGCCCAGTGGGGTTTTGTATGTTTTAGGATCTCGCTAAATTGTTGAGGCCGGCTTTGAATTTGGCAATCCTCCTTCCTATTAATCTCCCCAGGTGCTGGGATTATAAAGGCAAGCGCCACCACGACCGGAAGATGGTTAACATATTTTAAAGGTGACTAGGTCCAGTCAGCAGAACACCAAAGTTCTAATTCTTTGGGCATTACTTAAACCTGTTTCCTTCCCTCTCTGGACCTCAGCTGCTTCAAAGTAAGAAATGAGGGAATCAAGCTAAACTGATGTTTCAGAACCCTCTAAACCTTGTACATTCTATTTATGAAGGAAATAACCGTGTACATTTGTCTTCCATATCACAATAAAGCACCAGATCTGAAACCAAACAGCAAGTGCAAACTAATTCCAGGGCAAAGGAAAGCTGAAATGAGATAACAGGCCCCTATGAACATATATCCCCCTCATCGGATCCCTACACTCTTTTTAATGTAGAGTTATCTAGCTGACTCTTCCCCCAAATTCTCTGCCAGTCTTTCAAAATAGCCAGCTTGGAGATAACATCCAAAAATTTTTTTTTTCACTCGATGGCTCAGTTAAAGTCTCAATCACACCTTTAGGTGCACCCAGTATAATTCATTTCTAAGCGTTGGGTTCCTCAACATTTCCCACTTCACTGCTGTGGATTTGCCTCACATTACAGCTCTTCCATCAGAATCTCAGCTAAAACAGAAAGCTTTTCATGCATAATGCCGACCACCCTGAAACACCTTTTCCTTCATGCTTGGATATGGGCTATTTTATGGGAAAAGGGAGAAGAAAATTGGGAAATGGAAGGTAAATTATCAATTATAAAAGGTGGATTTCTGTGCTAATCACAGAGCCAAAACCTCTTAACAGCTGTCTTTAGTCCCTCACCCATAAGCTTAAGTGAATTTTTCTGCCATTCAGTCAACCTTTTGTGAGGAAAACTCCTTGAAAACCTTTCAAACAGTTAAGATCTTAACTGAGCTCTGAGAGCTTAACCTGCAAAGTCTGTCAAGATGTAAATAATGCTGCCACAACTCCAGGTTGGATAGTTTGAAGTTTCTACTACAATTTCTTTAAAGATTCCTTAACCAAAAAATCTAGTGCTAGTACCCAGTGGGCAAATAGGCTTTTAAGGTAGGTCAATTTCAACAACTAAATGACAAGGATTAAATTCTATCAGAGCAGCTCCTCAACAACTAACTGTTCAATCAAAATTTTACTTGATGTCTGTCCACAAAGGTAGAAAATCCTGTTGGAGAAATATTTAGTAAAGCTTTCTACAATGATAGAAATGTTCTACATCTGCACTATCCTAAAGGTAGCTACTAGCTAGCTACATGTATCTACTGAGCACTTAGATTGTGGCTAGTACAACTAGTGAACTGATGAAAATCCGTTTAAGAGGCACATATGGTTAGGGGACAGCATAGCATTTGTAGGAAAAGTAGTTGCTGTAGCAAGAGCTTTTTGAGAATTTAAGACTGCCCTTTACAACTGGTTTTATTGCTCTTTACAACTGTGAATGCCTACTAAAAAATTGTTCAGCTGGAGATAGGAAAATATTTAAGCTTTTAAAATAAAAACAAACCAAAACCAAACCTGCTTACCAAATAGGAAAATATTTAAATGCCTTCGAATGAGTCTGGTAGTTAATGAGATTGTTGATCCTTGAGTCCTGCCATTCTTAATACACAAGAATAACAGCAGCCATCACAAAACTTAATTTAGGTATCTGCCACCACACTGAAATGCACATAATTTTAGAATTAATCACCAAGTGAAGTTTATCCTCAGTCCCCTGCTTATTTGTTACAAGTGTTTCATAAATAAAAACAAAATAAACTTAATAGGAAATGACATTTTAAAGGTCACCAAAAGAATGTCAGCAATATTAAAAATATATATTACTACATCATATTTCTAATTATGCAAGATATTTCACAATAAAGCTAGGTGGGAACTATTTAGAAACACATAATACTATGTACTAAATAAATTTCAGATAGTTTTATTAACTTTGTATCCTTTCTGAGCTAAGAAAACACAATAAATATCTGAATGGAGACCAACTTCCTAAAACTTAAAATAAGGCATATTTTAAAGGAACACACCAATAGATTTGGCCCTCCAAATCACTTTCTTTAAATGAATAATTTCTTTGAATAAAATAAAAATCACTTAAAAATTAGTGATGACAAAAAAGAATACCCCCATAGAAGAGAAAATATGTGCAAAAAGACACAATTCAAAAGGAAAAAAAGCAATCTAAATGTCTTCAATTCTAAATCTCCACAAAGAGTGATTCTCCAGAGGGAGAATCATCATGTTTTTCTTGATCACTCCTAACAAAAGAAACACACCATTAATTTTTCCCACTTGAAAAGTTGTTTGGGGTTTGTCTATTATTGTTATCCTGTTTAAGAAATCCTCCAGAGGCTTGGAATGTAGCTCAAAGATAGAGCAAATGCCTAGAATACCTGAATTGAGCACTTACAAAAAAAGGAAGGAAGAAAAACAGAAAGACAAAGTGGTGGGTGGATGTGGGTGGGGAAGGGATGTAAGGAAAGGAAAAGAAACTTGCCAGGCTGGGGATATAATTCAGTAATAGAATGCTTGCCTAGCATGTGCAGCAAGGGTTAGCTTCCCCCCACCCCAAGCAATACATACATACATATACACACACACACACACACACACACCAAAAAAGAAGGAAAAAAGAAAAAAATAACAAAAAACCTTCCTCTACACTTGGATCATAAAGATATTTTCCCATATTATTTTCTTAGAGTTTTTACACATCCCTTTTCACATTTAGGTCTATACATGACCAGGAACTGGTTTTTGGTAAAGTGGTAACAAAGCTGGTTTTTGCTTTTGTTCCGGGTGGACATCTGTTTGACACAGCATCACATAATGAAAAAAAAAAACAACTGTTGTTTCCAACTGCTCCTCGGCTAAAAAACCAAGTATCTATATACCCATGGGTTTGTTTCTGGGCTCAGCAGTCTATTCTACTAATCAATTCATTCTTGTGCCAATACCACACTATCACAATTACTGTTGTTTTATAAGACCTCTTTTTATGAGTTAGCACAGGTTGTCTTTTTTAGTACCCCCTAAAAAGTACCATGGCTTTTTAAAAAATTTCCACGGGAATTTTAGAATAAGAATTCAAAGGCAGAATAGAGGAAAAGAACACGGGAAACTTGCTGAAGAGACAAATGAAGGGGTACTGATATCTTCATAATACTGATATCTTCATAATACTTCTTATCTATGAGTCAGATGCATCCTTCCATTTAATCTTTAATTTTTTAAAATAATCTTTCACAGTATTCTGCAGTGGTCCTGCATATTTTAGTTCTTGGATTTGTTCTTTAAAAAAAATACACAATTCAATTATAAATTACAATAGTTCATCTCAAAAACTTTTTGAATTTTTTAATTTACATAATCTTGTTTAAATACTATTTAGCAGAAAACAATGACTGTTGAATTTCTTTTCAACATTTTCATTTTCTGGTCTTACTGCACTGCTTAGGACCTCTAGTCCTAAGCTAAAGCAGTCCTAAGCTAAAGAGTCATGGTGAGAGCAGTTATCTTTTTTCTTATTCCAAATCTCAAGTGGAAACTTTCAATTTTTAAGTATTAGATTTGCAGTGTTTTTTTGTACAACCCTTTAGCAAATTCAGGGAGTTGGTTCAAATTTGGTAAGGTTTATTAAAAATTAGCATTTTTGTCTAATTTTTCTGCAATTCATAATTATGATTTTCTGTTAATGTATGATTTAGACTGGTTTTTGGCTGTTAGGCCAATTTTATTTTCCTAGTAAATCAATTTTGGTATTATTGCATTATCCTTTTAATATACTGATGGGTTTGGCTTATGAATATTTTGTTTAGAATT